AAAACTGTAATTTTATTATATTAACCCTGCCTATCTATGAACAATTAATATTTCTCCAATTATTTTAAATCTCATCATATTTGTATAAAAATATTTTTTTGTAATTGTGTTTATGTAGTTTGTGGGTTTATTTTGGCAGGTATACTCAAGGTATTTTATACTGTCGAGTTATTTTAAGTGGGGTATTGTTTTTTTACTATCTCTTCTTGCAGAATTTTGTGATGTATATGAATGCTGATGATTTCTGTGGATTTACCTTATATACTGATATCTTGTTAAAATTATTGTTTCAACTAATTTTTTTAGTTGTGGAAGAATATGGCTCAAATTAGTGAACAGAGAAAGGTTTATTGCTATTTTTCTTATCATTCTATTTCATTAAATAGCTGTGATTTCCACAGTGTTTGATACATATATGCTTAATGCTTATTGATTAATTGATTATGATTTGATCTAATTGTGTCCTCTTATTTATAAATGTAAATCATTAGTGGAGGTTCATAAACTCTGGTGTTGATTGGATATAGATACATAGGGTGCCGTGATCCTGAGAATGTTTTGTTTGGAGGGTCCATGTACTAACATTAACTATATTGGGGAAGACAGGATCAAAGAAAAAGTAGGACTGCTGTTTAAGGTGCATACCACAACGGTAACTGATGATACAGAGAGGGCAGAGCTGTTTGCTTCTATTTTCTATGCCAAGAAAAATGGACTTTGAACCAAAAGCAGAACAAAAATGACTAGTTGGAAATTAATACCTAAGATCAAAAGGGAAATAGAAAGAGAACAAATAGTTTCCCTTGATGAATTCAAGTAACTTCATGCAGATGACCTGCCTCCTTGGGTTCTGAAAGAACTGGCAGATTTGATTGCTGATCTATTTTCAGTGGTCTTTGAAAGATTGTAGAGAATGGGAGAAGTATCCCAAAATCAGAAAGAGGTAAATGTCTTGAGTTTCTTAATTTTAAAAAATCAATATATAATTTTTACATAATTTTCATTTATATCATAAAGGCAGCCCCTTTAACAAAATATAAAAGAATTGGTTGAATGGCCACACAAAGAGTAATCAAGGTTTGATATCACTTGTGAAGGAAGTCTCCAGTAGTGTGACCCAGGGATCTGTGCTTAGAACTCTCTCTGTCTCCATCTCTTTCTCTCTGTCTCTATTTCCATCTGTCTGTCTCTCTGTCTCTGTCTCTCTCTGTCTCCTGCCCTGTGCCTCTCTCTGTCTCTCTTCCCCCCATCTCTCTCTCCCTCTGTGTCTCTCTCTGATTTTTGTCAATGATTTAAATAGAGTGCTTATCAAATCTCCAGCTAATCAAAAGTCCGGAAGGTTATCTAACTCAAAGAATGACAGTGTCAGGATTTTAAAAGTTCTCTACAGGTTAGAACTTTGGGCTTACTTTAAAAAATGAAATTTAATAAAATCTGAAAGGCTGTAATGGGGATGGGAAAGAAGTCATATTTGTTCTTCCTAGCCCCAGAGAGTAGGATTAGGTGCAATGGGTAGAAGTTGTAGAGAGATTGATTTAGACTTGTTTTGAAAAGTTTCCTAACAAAAGTGGAATGGTTTGTTTCAGGAGGTATTTGGGGAGGGAATGGGGAACCAAGAAAAGCCTCCTGCAGAAGGTGGTATTTCAACTGACTCTTTACAGAGGACAGGGATTCCAAGAGAAAGAGGTGTGAGAAAGCACACCAGGCATTGGGGATAGATAGTCAGTACAAGGCACAGGGGTGGGACGTAGAGCATTATGTGTGAAACACGTAGGACCTAAGTGGCAGCTAGGCCAGTGTGGCTGGATAGTAGAGTTGTAAGAAATTTGGAAGGTAGGAAAATGCCAGGTTGTAAAGAGCTGTAAGCACCAATGGAGTACTTCAATTTTAATACTAGGGGTATTAGGGAGCCACTTGAGTTTATTAAGGTGTGGACGAAGTGATGTGATTAGATCTGTACTTTAGAGAAATCACTTTGGTGGCTGTATGGTAGATGTATTGCAATGAAGAGAAATTAGAGGCAGGGAGAAAAATCAAGCAGAAATTTCTTTACTTGGTGCCATTTTTTTATCATTGACACCAGAAGAGACTTTTGTCCCGAAAAAGTGGTCAAGGATATTAGAAGTATTGGTTGGTTTGTAGAGACTGAAGGCTGAGTATTGAAATGTGGCCATACATTTTTGCAAATGACTCACCTGGAGGTTGAGTGCTTAGACCCTTCACTTACCACATTTTCCCATAGGGTCATATCAAGAATGAAGAAATGTGTCTTATTATATCTTGTATCAAGGCTTGTTGGAGAATATAGTGCACTGGAAGTTTCCTTCTTGGTAAAATTATGCTGGCAGCCAGTTTTGGACTGTATTGGAGGGGGAGTTAAGCATTTTTTTTTTAGTGTTTTATGTAGGAGTCTGCATTTTTGTAGATGTAGGAGGAGAAAGAAAAAACAAGAACAGCCTATTGCCCCTGGGAAATTTTGCTTATTGACTTGGCATGGGACTTTGCCTTGTTGCTCTACGGAAATTGTCTAATACTAGATTTTCAACACTTTCTGAACCAGTGTGAGACTTTCAAAATCTCAACTAAATAAATAATATATTGTGAGTACTTAATACATATTTATTGAATTTTTTTATGTTACTGACATTAGTTAATAAAAGAGTTGTCAAATCAACAAACAACAAACATTCATTGGGCATTTACTATTTGTTGCTGTTGTTTAATCATTTTTCAATTATGTCCAACTCTTCATGACCCCAGTTGAGGTTTTCTTGGCAAAGGTACTGGAGTAGTTTGTCATTTCCTTCTCTAACTCATTTTACAGATGAGGAAATGGAGGCAAACAGGGTTAAGTGACTTATCCAGGGTCACTTGGCTAGTACGTTTCTGAGACTGGATTTGAACTCAGGCAGAAGAGTCTTCTTGACTTCCAGGTCTGGCACTGTATCCACTGTGTCACCTAGCTGCCCACTTGGGGAATACACATACCAGCAGAAAGAATAATAGTCCCTGTCCTTAAAAGACTTACATTTTAATTGGGGAAGACAACACATAAAAGAAATTGAAAAGGGGAGAAGTACCCTGGTAGGGGTATGGTAGAGAAAGTCTGAACTATAAGAACTATTGCCTGGGGTGGAGTAAAGAACTTTGTCATTCATCAAAGTAATAAAGGAATGGTTAAGCAGGTTAGTTGAAACAGGAATAATTATGGAATTATGGAATTATTGGCTGAGGAGATCCAGTGCTTTACTTATTCTCTACTCTTTTGTGAATCCTGTAGAAATTCATTTTTGACTATGAAGTCGCATGATTCCTGTTTCCTTCTCCTGATCTCTGGCATTTGCATCCTTTGAAAAAACATGAAAGGCATAGTTGTGTGGTTGAAAGAGTACTAGCCTAGAAATTGGAAGTCCTGTCTCTGCCACTACCTAGGTATGCCACCTTGGGAGAGCCATTTGAGCATTGTGAGGTTCCATTTCTTTATCCGTAAAACAAAACAGCAAGATTCAATAATGCCTAATGTCTCAAACACTAAAAGTTAATGAATGAATGATAAATGTCTAATCGAGAAAAATACAAATCTTAACTAGACTTAGCTAACTGCCATGTAAACAATGACAACCAATCATTGATCCTTTAAGTTTTGAAGCTCTGGGTTGTGGGGAGTCTGATACTTCTTTAGGCAGTTGACTGGCTGGAGTAGGAGTATTCTCCACAAGGTAGGAGTATTCTCCATGTTTCTCAGAAAGTCAGCTATCTTTTCTCCTTTAGCTTTGCCTCTCTCTATGGGGCAGTACCAATTCACTGTCAAGGAATGTGTGGATTTGTGGATTTACCCAATCAGAAACTGGTTCTTACAACCCCATGTAATAGGAAACTGCAGCTCCTTCTTGAACTTCGTATACTTTAAATTGTTCTAGTCACATGATTTTTGGCATAATGGGATTGGCTCTCTACAGAAATTGACAAACATTCTTGAATAGTGCATATAGTGGATTCTACTCAGCATAGATTCTATAACTAAATAATAACCAGCACATGATGCATAAAACTATGAAAATCTACCCAACAGTTATTAGCCCACAACTTTCCTAAACTCTGGGAGTCCCTAGAGAGTACAGAAGCTGCTTTGACATTCTAGGAGTTCTATGACATGCACAATTTGCATTTGTTTTCCTATGGCTATGCCCTTGCAAGGGGGCAAAGGAGCACATAATTGACTTATATCCAGTTGGGATGTTCTTTCAAAGCCAACAGAGAACCCCCAAGGAACTTTGGATTATAACTCATCACATAGAAGATAGACTTTGGAGCTAGGTAGATTTAGGATTATATGGAAGATCCCATAATGAGTAATTTTCTCAGTCCTCTCTGGCTGATTGCTGCCAGGGAGCTCAGACGTTTTCAGCCTGCTATTGCCATTGCTTATCCTGGTATAACTCTCTGAAATGGGCACTGAGTGGGATGCTCTTTTGCATCTGGGTTACATCTCTTTAGTTCTGTTACCACTGTCAGTCAAATGTCCACTGTGAAGAGCAGCAGAGTGGCGGAGAGTCAAATAGGTTCAAAGGAGCACTCTATAGACAAAAAAGAATTTATGATGCATCCAATTCTTATATTTGAAATTCTGGACAGTTTCTGGGAAAGAACAATTACAAGTAGCAACTGCTGTGGGGCAAGACCTTTCTTGTCCCCTGAAGACCCAACCTTAAGATAATTAATTTACTTTACAATTTTTGAAGAAAACCCCCCTCTATTGGAGGTCCTCTCATCTGTGTTCATTATTGTGTTCATATCAGTAACCTTGTATATAATGTCACTTCATATTTTTAATTGGCTAGTTAAGAACCCATGATTTACAATTATAATCCCTGTTTCTTAATACACACTTATTGTCATTTAAATTCTACTAAGGTCATGCTGATGATTTTTATCATAATGTGTTTCTTTTTGTCATGCTACCTAATTTTAATTTTTTTCTTTATGCATGAATATCTTAGAAAAGACACCCAGGTTAATACCTGAAAAAGAAAGTATGTATTACCCACGAGTCCAGCACTACAGAGAACTCCTTGACTCTTTGCCCATGGATGCCTATACACATGGCTGCATCTTACACCCAGAACTAACAGTGGACTCCATGATCCCTGCTTATGCAACAACAAGGATTCGCAGTATGTAAAGGGTTCAGGAACCTTGATTTGTCTCACATTCCTTTTATAACTCGTTTGTCTGATTTCTATTATTTCTTATGATCATGGGTAGGGCTTTTCAATTTGTTTCACATATGCCCCCAAGATTATCATAGAAAATAAATGCTCCAAGTTTATTAATCTGTGCCTTATATTAAGTAAATATTTGTTTTTTAATTAGTGCATTTCCCCACTTTTATTTTGGAGGTCAAGGCTACATACGTCACAAAATAGGAGTTCTTTGTGGTAAGGTACATTGATATAGTGGAAAAGGGATTGGACTAGTAATGTGATGACCTGGGTTTTTGTTCTGCTCCCCCCCCCCCCCCTGACTAGCTATGGGATTCAAGCACATTCTGCAATCTCCTCATGATCTCAAGTGTAGTGACCTGTGAGGAATGAATACCTGGCTTATTCTGTTATATTTCAATAGAGCTTGACTTTGCAACGAAGGCCTAGGCAATACTAGGCAACTAGGCAATACTAACCTAAAGAAATTAATGAAAACCTTGTTCCCTCTATGTAGGAAAACAAAAGGCTATTTTTATTTGCCTGTGTAATTTTTTTAATAATAATCTATTATTTATTGATATTTCTTTTTTCCCAAATGCTCTGGAGGAGAATGCTAAGCCTCATATCCTTTGAATATGTCTGTTAATTTCATAAATGGTTCTTTAGATTCATTAATTTTCCTAACTTCTTGCTCTAGTCTTCCCTATGCTGTTTCTCCCCTTATTTGCTGCTTCACTTCATCCTTTGATTCTGTATCTTCAAGATTTTAAAGAGATGTTGCTTTACTTGGGCATAATAAGATTATAAAAAGTTTTGCTCATGTTTTGTGAAGTAATGGAGTATAGTGACTAGAGGGGTGGCCTTAAAGCCAGGGAGACCTGGGCTCAAATCCTGCCTCTTACACATAGATCAGATCCTGGGAAGTTATTTAATCTCTCAGTGCCCCAGGCAATTCTCTAAGATTATAAAACTGGTAGAGGGAGTTTTCTCACCTAGGTGTTCTCTATACCAATGAAATGAGAGGTTCAGTCTCTATCCCTCCTGAGAAATTATTGATGTCCAGACAAAACTTAGAGTCTGTGGTGTTGTCTCCCATAAGCCTTGGCCATGCAATTGGCTGAGTATCGGTAGATCATTTCCTTGATATCATTCAGTATAATGAAATTATCCACTATCCCTCTTTCTGCCTATTCCTTCACAATTAAGTCTATGTGTTTCCAGAGCCTTGATATTACTTGCGTCACATATTTATGGACATGCAGTTATGATGATGATAATGTTGATAATTTATAGAATTAATTTATTGCTACTCTAAAATACTGATTTTATGGCTTACAGACAGGAGTAGGTGTATTCTAATCATTTTTACTGTGATTTTCAGAGTTCTTTATTTCCCTACTTCTCATTGGGGTGTGAAGTCAGAAAAGAACTTCTGTCTAGGGGTGGAATAGCTCCCTGGATGGAGGGCCTAGGGAAAAGGGGAAATACTGTGGAACTGTACTGATTTAGTTGGTGTTCTGAGAAAAAGCTTTGTTTTTGTTTTGTTTTTGGAAAATGCTCCCAACATCAGGCCAAATAGGTAATACTGAGTCTGAACTGAAGAAACTTGCTCAAGAAAATCCAGACCTTCAGGATGCATACATAGCAAAGCAGAAACGTCTTAAAGTAAGCCACCCAGGGTTATTCCTAGCTGTCATTTAGTGTTGCATGGTGCTAAAGTATAAGTTTCTCCTCTTTTCAATTCCTCCTCTTCCTCCCTCCCTCCCTCTGTTCTTTCCTTTCTTTCTTTCCTTCCTTGGAAGTCTCCCAAGAAAAGTCTCTCACCCCACTCCTCACTCCCGATCTGTTGCTAATCATCAGGAGGCAGTTCTAGTCATCGGGGTCCAGAGGAATTCACTGTGTCCTCCCAGCAAGGTGCTTTCCCTCAGCAAAAGGCCAAGTGTGCATGTCCAGCTCTGCAGAAAATACTCTGGCCCAACAAAAGTCAACCCCTAGATCTTATCAGATAGATTGATCAACAACTCCCCCAATCCCTTCTACATTGCCTTATCTCCTAGCCTTTTTGTTTTCCTTTTTCCTTTGCAATCCTACTTTATTGGGAAAATATTTTCACCACCATCACAACAGTCTCTTATCTTTTGCCTAAGTCCTGTGCCTAGCTGTGGTGCCTAGTTTTCCCTAACACCTGCCCCCTCCCTCCAAAAAAATAAAATCACTATTTTTTACCAGGTGAAAATGATCTGTCCTTTATATATATTTTTTCTGAGCATTTTTTGGGGGGAATTTCTCCTTTGCTTTCATTATTTTCTATTTTATAGCACCCCAATTTTGTTCCTGTGTCATCTTTCCTCTATTAAATTGTAAGAACTTTGAGGATAGGAACTTCCATTTTTCATTTTTGTATCCCATAGTACCTAGAATAATACCTTAAAAGTATTCAATAAACAATGAGCATAATAAAAAATAAGCATTCAATAAATCAGTGAACTATCATTAATGATATACTCTCCCTGTCCTCCCTAGTCCATCTAGGCCTAAAGAGGTTTTTATTCCTATGTAGACTGCCCTTTAGAGTAGATATAATGGACTTTCTGATGCCTCTCTCTACTGGCTTTCCTTGCTGTAGTCATTTGACTCTGCTTGGAACTGCTTCTGAGAAAAGGAAGTTACTTATGAGTGCCTTTTCTAAGCTGAAGTTTTCTCTTAATGGTGTTTTTCACTTTAAATTATCCTGTTCGCTTTTGCTGCCTTCTAGAATAATGTGCAGATTCATAAGATGTAAATTTTGCACTGTGTAAATCCCTTACAGAAATTAAATGTGTTCAGTGTTTTTTTTTTTATTTCTTTGCTTAGTCAAAGCTACTGGACCATGACAATGTAAAATATTTGAAGAAAATACTTGATGAGCTTGAGAAAGTTTTGGATCAAGTTGAAACTGAATTGCAAAGGAGAAATGAAGAAACCCCAGGTAAGTGCTGATTTAGGCTTCTCTCCTGTCGCCTCCTATCATTGCTATCATGCTCACTTGAAAGATTTCATTTCAAACATTTTATCCATGCTTTCTGTTCATATTTTAATTATGATCGAGGTAACTCAAGTGAGCTCAGCAAAATCAGCTGTTTAATGGTCGCTCAGGTGGTATTGGAAAGAATGGAACAGTTTTTTAGTGAAAGTGATGGCAGCTAATAGCTTTCAGATTCCACCGTTCCCTTTCAAATTAGTAACAATGTTTCTTTCATTCCTGGAGATTAATCTGGGTCTTTGCCTAAATGTTGTTTTTCATTTTGCCTGTTCAGGCATGGCTTTTGCCCCAAAAAGTACAGGTAAGAAAACCATATGAATCAGGAAGCATGCATATCTTTTGGGGAACAAAGGAAGGCATCTGGATCTGTGATTTCTTCAATGTGGGGGAATCCCAGTATGGAAATCTCTTCTATCAATGCATATCAGCAACTATTCTGTAATTTTCAATCTTAAAGTAGGACACGCAGCCTGTTTTTGTACGGGTAGAAAGCTAAGAATGGTTTTTAAAATAAATTTCTAAAATAAAGTTTTATTGCATTAAAAATGTAAAAAAAGATCCCATTCTTAGCTTAGGCAGTACAAAAGCAGGGGGTGGGGTGGGCCAGATCTGACCCTCAAGACCTAGTTTGTAGATCCCAGTCTTAGAGTTGACTAGAGCCTGGGCCATGGTCACAAAGCTACTGTGTGTCAGAGGCAATACTTGAATCCAGAGCTTCCTGCTGCTTAGGCTGATCTGTTCTCCACAGCTCCAGCTGTCTCCCAGATGCATAATCTAGATAATATAAAGTTTGGACTAGTTGTGAACATATGTGGGTTGAGCTTTATGAATAAAACAATTCCCATGTGCCCATATATGTTAGTCCCACCTGTGCAGCATGCTGGGGTCTCTAGATGATAGTTCTGTCACCTGAAACTTTCCTTGCACAAGGTGACAGAATGTCCCCACTTTGAAAAAAAAAATTGATGGCAATGCCATTGACAGTTGCAGACCGAACTTGATCTTGTTACCTCAAGCACACCTGTTGCTTGCTGAAATGAGCAGGGAGTGTCTGGGGATCACACTGCTTCTTGGAGGCCCTAAGCCACTTGGGGTCGCTTATGAAGCATCAGGCAGGTATTAAGTACCAGGGGGCTTCAGCTTTCACCCAGAGACCTGGGCAGCTAACAGCTGTTCCACAAAAATCCCTTAAGCTTAGAATAAATTAGCTTTTGCTTTCATTTTTTTTTTTAAGCATCAAATAACTTGGCCATGAATGTTTCATTAGGAGTAATACAGCACTTTTAAATGTTGATAACTTTGCAGTCACTCTTAAAGATGAGGGAATAATGTAGTCAGGCAGCATATCTCCTCTGGGTTCCCCCTGTATAGTATTTGCACCTAATTCTCCGTGTCTTTTTCTCTGATTAGAGGAGGGCTGCCAGCCTTGGCTCTGTGGTGAATCTTTCACATTGGCAGATGTATCGCTTGCTGTCACATTGCATCGACTGAAGTTCCTGGGGTTTGCAAGGAGAAACTGGGGAAATGGAAAGCGACCAAACTTGGAAACCTATTACGAGCGTGTCTTGAAGAGAAAAACATTTAACAAGGTTTTAGGACATGTCAACAATATATTAATCTCGGCAGTGCTGCCAACAGCATTCCGGGTGGCCAAGAAAAGGGCCCCAAAAGTTCTTGGCACCACCTTTGTGGTTGGTCTGCTTGCAGGAATGGGATATTTTGCTTTTGTGCTTTTCAGAAAAAGATTTGGCAATGTGTTTTTAGCACTGAGAGCAAGACAAAATTATTTCTAGGCTTGTGCTGTGTTGGCTATGGCAAACGATGTGGCCTTTCCAATTGACACTTGCCTCTCTCCTAGGGCTGGTAAAGAATTATCCCAAATAAGCAGGAAAATGTGCTGATTTAATTTCCTTTACTCTCTGGCTAGCTCATAAGTTGAGGTCAAGCTATAGAATTTTTTTTTTTTTGGTAAATTTTGAGTACTTGTTTGAATTAAAACATCTTTAAAAAGATGGGCAAGGTGAATTTATATAAAAGATATCTTATACAGCTAGACCATTGTTTCAAGATTGCAATTTCCCCTTGCTACATAAATAAAAAGATGTGCTGCTGAATTATTTATGGTGTTAATTATTGTAAGCAGCCAATAGTAGCAATCTGTGCTTGCATGCATTTCTTTATCTAAGCATTGCAAAGTGCTTTCTGAACCTGATCTCATTGGTTCTTGCAATATCACATGACGTCAGTGAACATTATCCATACAAACTAGAAATTCACTCCAGTGCTCTAGGCCAGTGGGCATCCATCTCCTTAGCTTGGAAGGTCATCAGGCATGCTAATGAACACTCATTTGTACCTTTTTTGTCACTGGCAGCCTTAAGGAAGAAATAGGACAAGAGGGAAAAAAGAAGAGGAAATAAGAGGAAAAGAGAAGAAAAGATACAAATGCCACCATGTGGAATGTTGGGACAAGCAACTTATTCTCATATTAGTCCATTGGGGCCATAAGTTGCTTGTTTCCTTGCTAAATAATACGTTTACTGAGATGTCTCACTGGAGCTCTTGGGCCTCTGATAGGAAGCATGAAAGTATTTCTTGAAGGTAGTGGTTTGGAGAAAAGCCTGAAATTTACCTCTACACCATTACATTTAAATCTGGTTGGTTTTTTTAAAAAATACATTTGAATCTTTATAATGTCAATTGCTTTTCCAGTTGGAAATTTGGCTAAGATTACCAAACAGAATATATTCTTCTTGCCTAGAAAAACAGTGGAACATGTCTGTTTAAGGTTTATATTGCCATTAGTGATGAAGCAAAGTATTCTTATTTTCCAAACTTGAACGTAAGAGAGGCTTAGGGAAGTTTCTTGGTTTTTCTTGTGTTGGGTACCATGAATGAATGAATACAAGAAACCTGAACTGCAGTAAGCTTCAATATTCAGAAAGGGGCAGCTTGGTGTAATGGAATGAGTTGTGGGCCTGGACTTAAAAGACTTCGGGTTTTGTCTTTGCTTTGCCATTAACTTAGGAAAATCTTTTAACCTCTCTGAGCCCCAATTATCTCATCTTTAAAAAGAAGGGATAAGACTAGATGATCTTTATGGTCCTTTCTGGCTCCAAAGTTTCTGTGAAAAACTTGTCCCATGTCAGCCTCAGGCTGGCTGTGTAGATAGAAACGGCCAAAGAAAATGCCCTCATTCCTCTCTCTTCCTTTTCTTTAATAGGAAACAGTCATACCTAGAAAACAATAACTTGTTGTCAATGGTAAAAAACCAACACATTTCTGTAATTCCATGGCATGATCCAACAGTTGTGGAGATCTTGATGAACTGGATGCGCTCCGTTTAGAAAAACTGAATGATGTCTGCCGAGTAAACTTAATCCAACAATATTAACATGCTGGCAGCTTTGATTATGTTTGTGCTTTGTATCGAAATGTACTATGCTGTGGTGTATCTGCACTGATTCGCCTCTGGAAAATCTCACTGCATGTATTTAAAACCCATCATTGTAGGCATTAGTAAGTTGTTTATGGTATTTCCTGGCTACTCAGGTCACTGTTATGTTAAAAGGGGGAACTTCAGAATGGCAAAACAAAATTAAAGACAGGAGGAAACTTTCACTGAAAAAAATTTCTTGGCTAGGGCACAGAGTAGTAGTTTGGTACAGGGTAGTCTTCCAGTTTTTATTATTAGTACAGCAAAGACAAGACCAATAAAGTTTTATGAAAAACTTTTAGTCCTTCACGTGCAAAGGTAATGCCATGGGCCCCCCTATCTGGGATGTCACTTGATATAAGTTGTAAAGTAACTTTTTCACTGATTAAAATAACCACAAGATGTCGCTCTTTATCTAGGACTACTCAACTATTATGGGTTCAGGATAGATAAAAGAGAAGCACTGGTTTCCCTCGTACCCACCTGGTGGACATTTCCATGAGGTCAGTCTACTAGGTGACCGCAAGTGCTATTCATTTCTTATTGCTATAGAAAGGCACTTCCACACTGGAAAGTCCAGAGTTGTACTGCACAGCTGCTGTACCCAACACCTGCTATCTATATGAATTGTTATTAGAATACCCTTGGTTGCCAGATATTCTCTTTACATGTTCCTGTTCGTGATCATGAGCCTGGCTTAATTGGTTCACAATACACATTGCTGAGTCACCAATTTTTTTTTTCAATTTCAAAAAAGTCCTGTAAAGCTTAAAAGTTGAAAAATATTGAAAACACTAAGAAGGAACTTCATCTTAGGTTGGTTGCTGAAATCTTATGACTATAATCTCGTTTTCTTACTTTTGCAGTTCCACATGGTTTGGTTCTGTTTTTTAAGTTCTTGTGCAACTTTTGGTGATTCTGAGTGCTGATGATAACTTGTGGATTAGATACAATCCTCAGTCACTTTTATTTCTGTTACCACCTTGATTGAACGCAACATATAAACAGAAATATAGATTCAAGATTATATTCTCAATGTAACCCCTCTAAGTGTAATTGGCAAATAAACATGGATTTTAAAGCAAAAATTATTGTAGTAGATTATTTTTCAGATTCATATAGAATGCTTTGTGGTTAGAAACTAGGTGGCACAGTGGATAGACTGCTGGACTTGGAGTCAGGAAAACTTGAGTTCAAATTTGGCCTCAGACACTTACTAGCTGTGTGACCCTGGGTAAGGCACTTAACCTTTCACTGCCTCGATTTCCTTATCTGGAAAATGGGACCAATAATATCACCAACCTCCCAGGGTCGTTGTGAGGATAAAATTAGATAGTATTTAAGTATTTTACAAATCTTAAAGTATTATATGAGTGGCATCATTATTATTAATAGTATATTGATATGAAGTACTTTAGATACTTCATTTCATTTGATAATTATAAGTACTCTTACACCCCTTTAACAGGGAAGCTGAGGCTTAGAGAGATGACTTATCCAAGGTCGCACAATTAATAAACAATAAGGCCAGGACTTTAGGTTTACTGTCTCAAATTCCATTGTTTTTATATTATACCATACCACCTCCATAAAAAAGTATGTTCATTGATTTTTTGTAAATTGAAACATATTGAAATAGAGGAAATAAAGGAATTAAACATTTGATTCAATTAAAACATTTGTTAAATTTCTATGTGAAAGATACTGTGGTGGAATGAGACTGATATTCAGGATTTTGAGTTGTGAGCTATATTTTTTAAAATATAAAATTAAGTGACACAATTTATAAAAGTAATATAGTTTCAGTATAATCATGAATTATAGGCTATTAATGTTCAAATGTTTAAATTAATGTCAAGTAATCAATCAACAAGCATTTTATTAAGCACCTATTACATACTAGGCACTGTATAAAATCTAGGGGACATAAAGACAAATACAAAATAATGTTGCCCTCAAGGAGCTTATATTCTACCAGGGAAGGCATGTACATACGTCAATATAAATGACACAAAGTAGACATGAGATAACTTTGGGAAAGAAGATGCTGGGGACTGAGGAGACCATCTCCTTCAGGAGGCAGAACTTGAGACTTGGAGGAAGCCAAGGACTCTAAAAAGTAGAGATGAGGAAGGAAAGCATTCCGGCATGGAAGCAGTCAGTACAAAGAATGGTGATGGGAGATGGCATGTCACGTAGGAAGAACAACAAGTAGATTATTTTGGCTAGACTGCAGAGTTTGTAGAGAGGAGTAATATTTAAAGATTCTCAAAAGGCAGCATGAATGTCAAATGGAGAATTTTGAATTTTTCTCCTAGAGGCAATAGGGAGCCATGAGAGCTATTCTCAGTCGAGGAGGAGGTGACAGGGTCAGATCTGTGCTTTATAAAAATTACTTTGGTCACTCAGTGGAGGATGGATTAGAGTGTGGAAGAACAAGGCAGGGAAACCAATTAAGAGACTATTGCAAAAGCCCAGGTGAGAGGTGAAGAGATCCTTAACTAGGGTGGTAGTTATGTGAGTCAAGTGAAGTGGATGTATATGAGAGATGTCTGCTTGGGTGATGTGAAATTTGAAGTGCTTATGGGATATTCATTTTGAAATGTCCAATACGTAGCTGGTGATGTTGGTCTGGAGGTCAGGAAAGAAACTACAGATGGATGTCTACATCTACATCTACATCTACATCTACATCTACATCTACATCTACATCTACATCTACATCTACATCTACATCTACATCTACATCTCTATATCTATATCTGTATCTGTATCTGTATCTATATCTATCTATTTATCATCTATCTATCTATCTATCTATCTGTCATTTGTAAAAAGATATAATTGAAGGGACAGCTAGGTGGCACAGTGGATAGAGCTCTGGCCTTGGAGTCAGGAGGACCTGAGCTCAAATCTGTCCATAGACACTTGACACTTACTAGGTGTGTGACCCTGGGCAAGTCACTTAACCCCTATTGCCTCACCAAAAAGCAAAAAAGAAAAAAAAAGAAAAAAAAGATATAATTGAACTGAAGGGAGAGAGTATAGATAGAAAAGAGGAGTGGGACCAAGAAAAATGAGGTCAGTTGAGTAATGAAGTTAGAAGCCAGATCGTAAAATGTTTACGAGAGAATGAGAACCGACAAAGTAGAAATTTTTTGTTTAGTCGTTTCAGTCATGTCTGACTTCGTGATGCTGTTTTGGGCTTTTCTTGGCAAAGATACTGGAGTAGTTTATCATTTCCTTCTTGAGCTTATTTTATAGAGGCAAATGGGGTTAAGTGATTTGCCCAGGGTCACACAGCTATAAGTGTCTGAGGCCAGATTTGAATTCAGAGAGATGAGTCTTCCTGACTCCAGGCCCAGCACTTTATACACCTAGCTGCCCCAAGTAGAAATACCAAGAGCTTTATTAAGGAGTTTGAGAAAGGGAGAGAAAATGTGGAATACAAGCTCATGGGAATATGATATAGTGAAATTTTTTTAAGGATAGTGGATACTTGGGTATGTAGGTAGGAAGTAGAGAGGGAACAAGTAGATGGGGGAGAAATTGAAAATTTGAGAGAGAGGGAGAGGGGAAGAAAGAGGGGAGAGAGGGAGTGGGTATTACATCATGGGTGATCTGCTACAGAAAATGGAAAAAAATGGGATGAAGGGTATGTATAGAATGGTGTGCCTTGGTGAGATGAAGGGCTACCTCCTCATCAGAGACTAAAGGCACTGAGGTCAAAGGGTTGTGAGATCAGGAGGAAGTGAGAAGAGGGAACCTAAAACAAATGACCTTAATTAATGATACTATTCTTTTCCTCAAAATCACAAAGTAGCTTACTATATCAACACATTAATAAGGAAGTGCTTTTATAAAAGTAATTCACATACTTTTATCTCTGGGTAAATGACAGATTTCAAGGTATTTCAAGTCCTATTTTTCCCTATGTTTTTGATCATTCCTTTTTCTCTTCTACTGAATTAAGAATAAAATAATAATGTACAACTCTACATGGAACACCCCATACTGATTCTGGCACAGCCATATCTTCATAAATTTTTTTTTTTAGGCAACTGGGATTAAGTGACTTGCCCAGGGTCACACAACTAGTGTCACATGTTTTGTCTGAGGCTGTATTTGAATTCAGGTCCTCCTGACTTTACAGCCAGTGCTCTATCTACTGCACCACCTAGCCGCCCTTATGAATTGGTTTTTGCCTATGATGTATGATTTGGCTCTAAATGAGCTTTCCTTTTTATATTTATGGGCACTACAGTTGCCTGATCTTTTCTATTTACTGCAACACTTACATACATTTCTAAATCTCCTGTGTTAAACCAGGGAAAGAGGTGCCCCACATTTACTGAGGAAAACTCATACTCACGATCTTCTAAAGTATGAGAAAGCAAGCCTTTGGAGGTAATTGACTGAAAATGAAGAGACGGGAGGAGAGAATAGACCTCAGTAGCCATAGGTTGCTTCAGAAGATGGGCAGTACTCAGGTTCAGAAAAGCATATTGTTTGTACAAGAGCTAAGCCCTAACCTCAGTTTGATCCAGGGACTGACAGATGGAAAGATACTAGAGTACAGAATGTAGGCAAAGGAGCAACCAGGGCCTGAGGTGCAGAGAAAGCCAATCTTCAAATCTGGTGCCAAAACTGTCTCAGTTTCATGCAAGTATGCAATCTGACTTGACACTTTACCTTAAAACCCCCTTCATAAAGTTAAATCAAAGGATGCAACTCTGATACTATTCTTTTGTCTTTATTTTTTTTTGTTACAATATTTATATACTGGCATGCAATCACTAATATAGTTTTCTTCTGCAAAATTCCTCTTAACACAGCAGAAACAAATACTTCAGAAGAGAAGTCGTAATAGTGCCAAAGCCTTCCCCACTGTGTAGCCAGAGATGAGCAGCTTAGACTAAGGGGTAAAGTAACTCTTGCCTGGGGTCAGAAGGACAAAAGTTTTTATAGGAGTTTAGTATTCTGCTTTTTTGAGGATGGGAATGAAGATTTCAGAAATACCAAATCCACAGGAAGAGATAGGCATGGAAACCAAACATGAGCCGGGTTGGACAGATTGAGACAGCAAGAGAAGTAGCCCAAACTGGATGGAACAGGCAATGGGAATATCAGTAAAGGAGAGCAGGGAATTGGGAAAGATGAAGCAGATAGATGTCAATGGTACAATGGTACAAATTAGTTATTTTCTGACTCATTGGTTAAGTGACTTGCCTAAGGTCACATAGGTACTAAGTATTGGAGTTAGGATTTGAGCTTGGGTCCCCTGAATCTGAAGCTAGTGTTTTCCCACCAGGAAGAAAAAGTTGCCATATTCTTTCCAAAACCAAATAAGACATTTTTTGTTCTGTAGGGTAAAGACAGGACAGAAAGACTTCAGATTGATTTAGTTTTTGTTAGTTTCCTAATCACAAAACATTAGAAATTACTCACAAACATAACATAAGGACGATTTTTCTTTAAGGATCTTCAAGTTGATGTCTCCTAGAATGAAGCAATAATATTCCAGATGAGATCCAAATGTTTGTGATCCTAAATAGTTAAGGTAAATTAGATGTATATTTTGCTTTTTTTTTTAAAAAAAAAATTGTCAGCATGGTGATCATATGTTGAATTTGGAAAACTATTTTCTTTCTTTTTGAGTGATATACTTTTGGTAGACTTTATATTAGTTTCACTTGATTTAATCCCTTTAACTATTCACCAAAGTTATAATCCTATTTTCCAATGCTTTTCTCAGCTAATGCATCATAATCCACCCTCAAGTGACATATAGAACATTTCTAGTGATCACTCATTTAAAAATGCTTATTTATCTCAGCCCAACTTTCCTTTATTATAATTCCTTTCTCAGAATTATTATGAATCATTAATGCTTTCAGCCTTCATTCTATATCACACATCTTGACATTTTAGTACTAAATTTGTAGGCTTATATCTTATACAGAGTTCTGCAGTTCAGGATATGGAAGCTTACTTTTGTATATGTATCCCTAGAGGTTAGAATAGTCTCCTACATAGTAAATGATAAATATACATATATATATATATATATATACATATATATGTATAT